TTTTGCAAAGGTAGTTAATATATGTCAAAAACAGCGTTGGAATAACAATACTACCTTGAGGAACTCAATGTTATATTAGCATATTTACTGACATATTTTCTAATTTTAGACGCTGTTTGCGATCCTGGATGTAGATAACAGAGAGTGAAAGTGGAACTCCACTTATTTCTATGTTTTCTAGTATGCGAATAAGAATAGAGTCAGATCTGTGAACTGTGATTTAGACAGGGTGTTAAAGGTTTTTAAATATTCTATTAAACGTTTATTTATTATTTTTCTATTATTTTAGAAATAACAGGTAGAACAGAAAGTGACCTATAGTTATATTTATTTTCTCTGTCACCAGTCTCAAAAACAGGCGTTTCAGTTGCTTGCTTAAGTGATGCCGGAATAACATCCTGCCTGAAACAGAGTAGCCAAATATGAAGTAACTGGAACTATGATAGAACTCGCTAGCTTAATAAATTTCATTGGTATACTATCGCAACCGGGAGCACTGTTAGATTTTAAGTTCATTAGAATAGAATCTACCTCAGCAGGGTCAGTTTCTTCAAACATAAAAGAGGATACTTGTAAGCTTATATTGTACGTTTTCTCTATATTGTATACAATTTTGCTACCTAAATAATTTTTTCAGCTAATTTTTGACAATAGAATAATATAAGCAAAATAGTTATTTAGTTACATACTATAGTTTTGTTTACTACTTTGTGCAATATGGATAAATGACTATTACCATTCAGCGTAGCCAGACAGGCCTCCGCAATCCACTTACGTATTTTTTATAAAAAAGTATATTTTTTGTATTTGTAGTATTAATTTAAAATGGTGCGAAATTTATTTCTGTTTTTTATTGCGGGGGTCCTTGATAGTTGCATTTGATTTCCTAGGAGTCCGTGGCTGAAAAAGGTTAGGAAACTATTTATTAGTTTTATCCGAAAATCTTCGATTTTTTTAATGAAATCGAAATATTGACAAAATAATTGTTCCTTGATGATTTTCTGTTGCTGGTTTAGTTAGTTTTTTGTTTTAATAAAACACCACGCATATTGTATTAAAGACAAACATTTAATTGTGCTAAAATATAATATTTCATTATTCATAATTATTTACTTCATATCCAAGAAATGTCCACAATTATTTATCATTATGTCTGAGAAAATTTGTTTTTCCAATGACTAGACATCATTGTTCAAAAAAACTTAAGAAATTAAAAAAAATCAACGTCATTAACTCCTTCCTTGTAGCCCTCATTTCCTAATGATTGAAGAAAATAAAACATTAAACTATATTTTTGTGTCAACTAGTTGTAAAAGACCAGGTAGGATTACGTCGTAAGTGTTTTAGTTTAAATAACACATAATCCTTATGGGGAGAAATATATACATTTTGTGTAAATATGTAAACCAAAAGAATAATATCTTATAACTAACTACATAAAAAATTCAGTTCCGGGTTGGTTTCGATTTAAAAAAAAGTAACTTTGTTTATAGTTTGTGATAGTCATTTATCCATATTGCACAAAGTAGTAAACAAAACTATAGTATGTAACTAAATAACTATTTTGCTTATATTATTCTATTGTCAAAAATTAGCTGAAAAAATTATTTAGGTAGCAAAATTGTATACAATATAGAGAAAACGTACAATATAAGCTTACAAGTATCCTCTTTTATGTTTGAAGAAACTGACCCTGCTGAGGTAGATTCTATTCTAATGAACTTAAAATCTAACAGTGCTCCCGGTTGCGATAGTATACCAATGAAATTTATTAAGCTAGCGAGTTCTATCATAGTTCCAGTTACTTCATATTTGGCTACTCTGTTTCAGGCAGGATGTTATTCCGGCATCACTTAAGCAAGCAACTGAAACGCCTGTTTTTGAGACTGGTGACAGAGAAAATAAATATAACTATAGGTCACTTTCTGTTCTACCTGTTATTTCTAAAATAATAGAAAAATAATAAATAAACGTTTAATAGAATATTTAAAAACCTTTAACACCCTGTCTAAATCACAGTTCACAGATCTGACTCTATTCTTATTCGCATACTAGAAAACATAGAAATAAGTGGAGTTCCACTTTCACTCTCTGTTATCTACATCCAGGATCGCAAACAGCGTCTAAAATTAGAAAATATGTCAGTAAATATGCTAATATAACATTGAGTTCCTCAAGGTAGTATTGTTATTCCAACGCTGTTTTTGACATATATTAACTACCTTTGCAAAATTAAACTAGATCACGAGTGCATATTTTCTTACGCGGACGATACTGCTGTCGTTTTTACTGCTTAAACATGGAATATTGTACGGAGTACTGCAGAACAAGGTCTTGCTAAAATTTCTAGATGGATGAACATACATCTCCTATTACTGAATACCCTAAAAACATACTACATATTTTCGATAAAATGGATGATCGAAAGATATCGTCGGTAATATTTTAATCTTTATGTGTCTTGAAAAATCCCTGAAAAATTCAAAGCGCTTCGATTTTAATTTCTTAGTACCCCGAAGCTTCAAATTTATCGTTTTCGCAAAAAATCACCATTATGAGCAATTTTTCGATTCTTATTCATTTTTTAATTAAAAAAAATATTGGAAAAATAAATACAAGAAGTTCAAGTTTTATAATTCAAGGGGGGGTTATCAACTTTTTTAATGAATTTTTAAATTGACAATTAAAACTAAGGCAGTTGCGGCGGTCAAAAAATCAAGTAAATTATTTTGACAATAATGAGGCATTCTAAAGGCGAAAAAAAAACAGGCTTTTTGATTACGTCATATTAAAAGGCATTATAGAACAATGGCCGATTTTCATACATAAAATTAGTTGAGAAGAAATGGTAGCGTCTATATACCAAAAATATCTTAAAATGTTAAGCCTCAGTCCCTTAATAACTCTGACAAAGAATTTTGTACTGTTTAGGTAACTTTTTAGGTTATGTCCTATGTCACTTGGAAAAAGCCATGCTTCCTGTGGTTGTTTGATGTTAGCTTAATACATAATACATAATTGAGAGTTTTTAGATTATTGTATCTCTATTATATATTTGCATACTATAAATGTATATTTCTGGCATGGCTCCAGGTCTTTTGTATCATAGTGACATTCTCAGAAGGGCTAGAACCCAGAGCCGTAAAACCAGTAAAAAAAACAGTGACTTTTATTTTAGCTAGTGTTGGCATAACATGAAATGGAATTGTTACATAGTACTAAGATTGAGATAATGTATTATTGTAGGAAATTCTTTGTAAGAGACTTATTCTCAGCCATATCACTTTTATTTTTATTATTACTGATAGTACAGTTACTACTAATAATAACTTAATATAAAAATATTTTGTGTGTTGTTTTGGTAGTCTTACAAAGTGTATACGAAAATAGTACAATTAAATGGCAACATTTGAATAGAGGAAAATGATTTAAGTCATTTGATATTCCCAAAAATGTTTGTTTTTTTCTGTGGCTTCAATTAAAATACATTTTTATTTGAAAAATCATAGAAAAATAATAAAACTCATTTTATATAATAACTTATTTCTAGACGCTATAATTTTTGTCAACTATTTTTCTGCCATTGCTCTTTTGAACTTTTTGAAGCCCGTAGACATTTTTTAAGACGAGCAAATATTCGGAATTTTTTTCGGGAGTTTCCTTAGGATCACTCGAGAACCAAACACGATAAAAAATTTCATGGCCATATCTGAAAACTAGACAATTGGAACAAAATTTTTTTTTATATTCCTTAATTTTTGAGACTAGTGTAGTTGCTCCTGTCGCTACAATAAACGAATTTTTTGCTAGTTGACAATATAACACAATTTTTGCTTATATAAACAATTTAAGTAATAAATACACACAAACAAACGCGCACGTACGCACAAACACACACGCACAAACACACACACACACACACACACACACACACACAAAGGTTATGGAAGTGACTTGTTAAGGAAGATCAGAATCTTCTAACACAGGTATCTATTTTTAAAAGGATATTCCGGACATGGTTAAAACTGTACGATTTATATTTCTGAAATAAAGTTTATTTTATTTTATTTATTTTAAAACCATAGGACACTAAAAATTTCTCATCAAAGTACCTATTGCACATTCATTTGACGTAAATGTGAAAGAAAATTTTAAATTATAATAACATTAGATTATGCTTGTCTTATGTAGAAATAAAGCACTATTTTCACATACATTCTAATTAAAAGTCCGATCTAAAAATAAAATAAATTCCATCTGACCAACCATAATATACATAAATATATTTTCATATATTCCATCCTACCAAGCACAATAATAATCCTTTTTAATACTCATTTCAATAAGTATTTATGTTTTCTATATATAATTATACATTCGTTGTGATAAGTTTTTTACTATTATGTTGTGTATTTCATATATTGTGTTTTGTGTGTGTGTGTGTTGAAAAATAACTTTTCCAATATACATATACACTTTTATGCTGTGTATTTAATATATGTGTTTTGTGTGTGTCTTGAAATATAACTTTTCCATTATACTTAGAATCCTAGCCTCCATAACATTTTTGATCATAAAAATAGTTTCGTTATTCACAGAAAATAAAATAGCAAAATTAAAATACTTTTGTTCAAGTTCTCGTCAAAATTGTTGATTAGTAAAATGAATTTGTCAAAATTACGTTTATTCAGAATTAAATTACATTTTTGAGCAAAACTGAAGTCATGATCACTCTGTGGACAAGACGAACTCTTTGCGTGTACATGGCATGTTCCTTTTGAGGTTTGAAATTATTATTTTACATTCGTATTTATATAATTACATTACATAAATTACAAATATTATTTCGCAGTCATAAGTGGTTTTGATAATACACAACTAACATATTATACATTATAATTATTATAATAATAATATAATTGAGCGACTTTTGGCACTTTTTTTGCTTAATTTACGTAATTTATATTCATATACATATTAATTTTATCTTCAGGTCAGGTTTAAAATTTTTTGGGGTTGTTCGTGTCTCTGGGCTGCACATGTATCATTACTTTTATCCCAAGACCTTGGCGAGCGATCTCGTAAGCCTCAAGCGTTTCTTCCAGGGAAAAGTGATGCGACACTAGAGGTTTAACGTTGATCTGTCCACTTGATATCATTGAAAGTGCTATGGGATATCTGAAATAAAATGAAAGTTGCTGTATCCTGTTATTAATATTAAAGTTTATAAGAATTTCATTCAGAAATCAATTCATCATTGATTATGAGCTGAGTGTGATCCTAGTGATAATACTCGGTCATAATCTTGGAGTTATTGTATTGTTCTCGGTGGTGCAAAATTTCATAATGTTATTCAGACGTCTCTAAGTGGGTGAAAACATCCATACATACATAATACATACATACATACAGGTCAAGCTAATGAACGCATGTTTTTTTTTTCAAAATGTTTCTCTTACTCTAATGTGGTGCTCATCATTACCTTTTTTTTACATAATTTTACATATTTTTTCTAACTTTTACATTCCTTTACTTTTAAGAATATCCGCACGTCGGTTTATCCATTTTAATCTAATTAATATAAAACATAGCTAATCTTAATTTCAAAATTTAACCTGCACAAAGTTCTAAAACTTTATTAAACAAAGTATTATGGATGATAATAACCCCTGGGAATGAGGTGATCGCTTCCAAGATATTTCTAATTTGTTTTTTGTGGTTAATTGTGATTACACGATTGTAAGCTGTTGTTTAAAAAAAAATCTATACACTTCTCTAACAAAGTACTTTCCCCCGCTATGAAATCTACCAAGTATTTTACCTCATCCCTAAGTGGCGCCGCCCTGGTGGCAGAAAAAGTCATTGAAATATTTTTTACGAACTGTCAAAATGATTTTTTTCTACAAAAATTGTATGAGAACTGGACAGCCAACAACCTTAGAACACACACTTAATGACGTCAGTATCTTATCAAAAAACATCACATTTGTATATTTAAAAAACTTTCAAATCTTTTGGAAGCAAGCGAGAGCGAGCGCCCGAGCGCACGTAAATACGAATCGCTCCGTATGTGTATAATTATTTACGTTGTAAAAAGTGAAAATTCCCTTAAATATCCACTAAGTAGTCTACAAAATGGGAGAGATTATGTTATATTTTCAGAAGAAACTTTGTGTAAATAAGTGATTTAAAAGCAGTGCAAAGGTGATAAAGAACCAAAATAAACTGTCGTTACATTGTGTCGTGTTATTGTGTGATTCATCGATTGCTCGATTGCGAACATTATTGCCTTATATGGTCACAAGAAATTACTCCGACAATCTGTACTCGTAATGCACTGAGCTGTATGCACTTTTCACACTGTGTAGCCTAGCGGTCATACTTGCGGACTTGAGAGACGCACCTATCTAATGAGATCGGGAGTTCAAATCTCGCATGTCGAAATTTTTTTGTTTTTTTCTCCATTTTTTGTGTTTTTTTTTCCGTACACCTTTTAAAAACTTTGTGAAATGACTGGAAGATGTGGAAAGTGATCGAAATAACTTCCAAGAAAGCAATTTTTAGCATGTACCTCATGCAATACCAGTTACGATATCGATTGTGCAGGAGCTGAGAGATTGAATAGACGAATGATAAAAGAGATTTTTCCTTATGAGTGACGAACATGAAAGGCGCTGGAAATGCTTTTCTTGTTGTAACACAAAGCCAAATTCCTTGAGTTCTGGAATAGCTGCATCCACTCCATATGATGAGCATATCACTATTAGAAATAAGTGCGTTATAAATATCTCGACGTCAAACTCATTTGAATCACTGGCTGATAGTTCCATGGAAGATGAGGATGATGAAGACAATTGTTATACAAGACTTAACAGAAGCTGTCCAGAGTTATCAACTATTACGGCACATGATTTGGAAGAATTAAAACAGAAGATATTGAATCTACAATCGAAATTGGTTATAGCGGAAAGGGAAATAGAAAACCTACTTCTACATAATACCAACTTAACAGATAAAATTGCTGCGAGAGAAACCAAAATTAACCAATTAAAGCAAATATGTAGCTCGAGTATTAAACAACGCAAAAAATGGAGGGAAATATATGAATCAAGATCATCTGTAGTAAATCAAAGCTTTGAAGGACTTAATGCAGGGAACTCCGAAAACAAGGAAAAACTTGAGGAAACAAACCAATCAAAGAAGAGAAACATCTTTATTTTAGGAAAAACTAAGGAAAACTTGAGGAAACAAACCAATCAAAGAAGAGAAACCTCTTTATTCTAGATCAGCAAATACGCGTTTTGGCGATCATAATACTTGAATATCGCTATGGGAAATATAACAACGTTTATAACGTTACCAGCATAATTAAATCTCAAGCACAAAGTAGGGACATTATGTCGAATTTCAATGTAATTCCTGACAATATAAATGAATACGATGTAATAATTTTATCTGTAGGCTCTAATAATAGAGATCCATATCTTTTATATAGTAATGTATGCAATTTTCTAGTTAAATACAAGAAATGTAAGTGTCTCCTAATAAATGTAAAGACAAATCGAAATCTAAATGTAAACAAACTGAATAATGATCTTCGCATGTTCAGTAGGAAATATAATAATTGTACATTTATTGACATGAACACATATAAACATAATTATTTTAAAACACATTTACAAAAACTGACATTCAAAATAAATATCGAAATTGACTATATAAAATATAAGAATGAATTCATTAATGTTAGAAAAGGAATTAAGACACATTCTAAAAATGAAGATACCAACAATCCTTTGACTAATGCTACTCTGAATAATATAGCAAATAAGACACTTCATTCGCATCCTGAGACCTCACACAACCAGGAAACAAAAGAAACAAATGACCCCAAAATAACACCACAGAAAATTCACCCAAACAACAATGACTTGAATAAGGAAGAATTTATTCGTTCTTAACAACTTTACAATAATGCATCAAAATATTGCCGGACTTCTTAATAAATCAGATTATTTAAAAGCTGCACTAGAAGAATTCAAGGGTAAAAAGTTAGACATACATGTGTTATGCTTGAGTGAAACGTTTATTCAAAGAGGCGACGAAGTAAATTTTAAAATACCTAATTACAAATTAGTTCATTCATCTTGGTCAAAAGCCACTTTGACTCAAGAATACTCAACATTTGCAAAGAATTATCATTATCTAAGAGTTTTGAGTGCTGCGGCACAGAAATACCTATGTACAAATTGGTAGTTGTTTATATTTATCGGACACCGGACTCTGACGTAAATCTGTTCTTTATCAAACTCCAAGAAATTTTGCATAACTTACTTAAAACTAAAGCCAAACAAAATAGTTCTGACTGGCGAGTGGAATATAGATATATTAAAACCAACTCGACAAAAAAGTACAAAATTCTTAAGTGATATTCTAAAAAACTTTAACTTAAAAATGCACATAAATACTGCAACTCGTGGAAAGGCATGTCTTGACCAGATCGCCGGTAACGTGTATAGGGCCAAATCAGGCATTCATCTTGTTTGCCTATCTGACCATGAAACAGCCCAAACTATATCATTTAAAATGAAGTTGATTAAAAAGGAGTATACTATACAGACAATTGACTACAGTGAAGAAAACTTTATCAAGTTTAGAAACTTTATATCTTTTTCATAAGTGTATAATAATAAAAATGCTAATGAAGCTTTGAATGAATTGCATAACGTGATTGATCTATTTAATAAACTCTGTTTTCCAATAAAGCTTGTTAAAATCTGTAATAAATTCAGATATCAGAAATGGCTTAGTAAAGGCATTAGACTTACGTACAAAAATAAGAGGCGTCTGTATATCCATATACAAGAAGCAATAACATTTCTCGATTATTTAAAAAATACATATACAAAAAATACAATAAAATAACTTAATTGTTTTATATAATTATAAATATTTGCATGCCTATTAAAGGCAGAACATAGCTTGAACTATGCACCACTGTTAAATCTGGTACCACCTGTATTCTGTGCAAGTAAATGTTTCTTTCTTTCTTTCTTAAAAAGTGCATTTATAGGGCTCAAAAATTACAAAACCAAAGAGTTATATATAATGCTTCTAATAAATGTAAAGCGACATGGAATATTATTAATGATAATTTAAATAATGATAAAGAATGTAATGATATTGACATAATAAGTATAAATGACATAAAATATAGTAATCCTAATGTAATATGTGAATTATTTAATAACTATTTTATAGACATGACGAACCTAGAACAGGACAGCTTAAATTGTGATAAAATCAACATTCCATTCAATAAAAATTCAATATTCCTAACCCCAACCAATGAAATTGAAATAGCTTCTATTATTTTATCGCTTAAAAACAGCAATGCAGTTGGACATCATGGCATAAACACACGTGTACTAAAGGCATATGCGAGTGATTTAAGCCGACCTCTTGCCCATGTAATTAATTTGTCAATGGAACAGGGATCATTCCCAGATATCATTCCTTAAGTTATGTATTGTCAAGCCAATATACAAGAAGGGCGATAAATGTGATATGAATAACTATAGACCGATAACTATTATTCCAATACTATCTAAAATCTATGAAAAAGTCATCTTCAAGCGCATTGATAGCTTTATTAACTCAAATAATATACTGACAGATAAACAGTACGGTTTTCGCAAAGGTCACTCTACTACGTTGGCCTGCTACAATCTGGTACATTATGTCACAGAATGTATTAATCAAAAAATACCACTTATTGCTTTATGACATGAGCAAAGCTTTTGACTTTGTTCCACATAAAAGATTACTGGATAAACTATATAGATAAGGTATTAGAGGTAACGCTTATGACTGGTTAGAAAGTTAACATTAGGATATTACACATATTACATTAGGACTACTATATTTTATGTCATTTATACTTATTATGTCAATATCATTACATTCTTTATCATTATTTAAATAATATACAGCAATGTATTGAGATAGCAACAATCGTTGAATCAAGACAGTGTACGTTCCGGTCAAAATATCACGTTAACTCATGGGGAGTTCCACAGGGCAGTATCTTGGGGCCCCTGTTGTTTTTGATATTTATTAACGACTTACCAAATGCAACTCAACATAAATGTTTTATGTTCGCAGACGACACCACAGTGGTAATAAGATGTGATGAAATAGAAAAATCCAATGTCATTTTTAATGAGACTGTACACAACCTAATCAATTGACTACATTCAAACAATCTTAAAATAAACATACAAAAAACAAAGGCGATTCACTTTACTACTCACAGAGCAAGGTCAATGGATGCGCTAGTCGATTATTGCGGTAATACCTTTGAAATTGTCAATGAAGTTAAATTTCTTGGATTTACTTTGGATAAACACTGTGACTGGAAAGCACATATAGACAATCTATGTACGAGAATAAATAAATTTGTATACGCGCTACGACGACTCAGTAATATATCATCCATTGAAACTGCTCTATCGGCCTACCATGGCTATGTGTCATCACTATTAAGTTATGGCACTATATTGTGGGGAGGTTCAGTGGATGTGAACCGGGCTTTCATAGCCCAAAAGAAATGTATTAGGGCTATTTGCAGAGTACATTTTCTTGAAAGCTGTAAACCCCTTTTCAAAAATCGCTACCGTGTCTGTATATAAAACAAATGTGTATTTTTGTACGACAACACTCTCATTATTTTGTCACTAGAGGGGAATACAAAAATAAACTTACCAGACATCGAGAAAGGATCATGCAACCTAGAATAAGACTTCAACTATACAGACGAAGCTGTTATTGTACGGCTATCAAAATTTATGATAAGCTTCATCCAAGTTTCAAGGCTCTGCCATTACCATTGTTTAAAAGAAAGTTACATTCCTGGCTTTTGACTAGGTGCTTTTATTCAGTCCAGGAATACTTAGATGACCAAGAGATTTTTGAATTTTAAATGTGTTTAAAGCTTTTCTGTGTTTACTTTATTTATGAATTGAATAATTTGACATAAAATATTATAAAATTTATAAAATGTAACGTAATGTTCTGTCTATGATTCATTTTTACTATTGGTTTTACATTTAGTCTATTAACTTATTTTTAAATCTAAGTAGATTAAAATGTAATTAATTTTAAATTTGCATGACAGTTATAAATCAAACATGAGGACATATCACTATAATTTAAATCAGAAAGCCAATCAAGTTCTGAGAGACTGCCTTTTTTATAAGATTGAAGTGGCTACTGCATCAATGGACATCTGCAGTAAACTTCTCATAAAGAAAATTACTAGATGCGTTATCACCACTGATGACTAAGATGGAATACCTCTCAGCTCTCACTTTGTAATTATACTGTCTCTATGCACCCTACACCTTTTTTTAAATTATACTTTTGAAATCTTTCGTGGTCAAAAGTCGTGGATCAAACGAAATAGGGATATACAGGAGGTCATTTCCAACAAAAAAAATCTTTCTACAGCAGGGCCATAATACAATTTTTTATAAATATTTTTGTTTTCTTTAAATAAAATACCGAGTTCTTTTACAATTAGACTTTACTTGATAATGTATCAGCACTACAAAAGTTCTATTGCGGTTCTGGGTACCAAATTTCAAGAGCATTTAATTTTTTTCCAAAAATTTTAAAGCATTACCAAAAAATTTTCTCACTTTAAAAGCACATTGTGAAAAAAAAGTACTACGAAAAAGTGACCCTATATCGGAAAAACTTGCTGATTTAATGCCGATTCAAATGAGGTGTAACACATCACTCTTTGTTTTTTAATTCTGGTTTTATGATCGTTTTCTCATATCAAGGTGCAAATTTCGGAAGGTTGGCTTAAATCAAAATAATTTTGAACTATATCATGCTGCTAGATTTTTGTACGTTTCTTGTCACACTTAGAATTTTTGAAAAGGACAGAAACTGTTCACTAATTATATCGAAATTCTAGCTGTGCCTCGCGGTTTCACCCGCGTATTATTTAAAGAATTACTGATTGATTAAATGATAAATAGTTCTTCAGTATAGAGAATATTTTAGGAACCTCTTCGTTCGGTATTAAAATATATTGGTTTTCACCGCATCCTGTTCTAGATAAGTCAACATATAACCATGGGAAAAACAGCATTTACTTAAATCTATCCCCACGTGCTTGAAAGTTTGTCCCTGTGCTTTATTTATAGTGACTACAAACGATAATTTTATGGAAAATTGTATTCTTTTAAAACTAAATGGTAAATCTGTAGGTATCATAGAAATTCGAGGTATCAGTACCGTTTGCCCAACTGCTGGCCCAGTCAAAACTGAAAATTCGAAAAATCGCATCTATGATATTATTTCTAAGAAATTTAACTTGAAGCCTAGTTCCGTTACATAGACTTGGTGGCCGCAGGTTTCGTAATAAAATAGTGGGAGTAGCACATTTGAATTTCAATAAATAAAGGGGCAGTCCACAAGGATTCAAAGAATTTAAAGATTCTTAAGGGTAATGTACCGCGTCTTCTTGATCCATGACAATATCAATAGCTAGGTAGTTCATGTTGTCGCCTGGTAACTTGGCCATTATTTTATCGTTGATGGCGTCAACGCTTGTATTTTTGGCAGCTAAAATTGCTCCTTTACACATCCACTGATAATTTGTTTGCTTCATATTAGCCACAACCTAAACCCGGTTGTGGTCAATGGATTTTGGAATGGAAAAAAACTCTTTATTAGTATAGATTAACTTTGTCGAAAAAGACCTGAACGCCCATCTTAGTTTAAGGTAGTGAAAATCCGGGCGGAGCGGGGCCGGAGGAAGCGAGTGGCGTACATATCTATAGTCATAGATAATATACTATACAGGGCATTTAGTGATTGATTTACTTTCGGCCTGTGACTACGCACGTATTCTTTTGCTCCGCATTTTTTTATGATCTTACTTACCAGTGATCTACGCTTCTTTTTTAGTATTTGTAATAGTTTGTTTATCTGTGACGTGCGCTGTGTAAATCGGACTTTGTGATCGCTACGGATTAGCTAGATAAGCGTATAGATGGCTGCTGGGAGGAGGGAATACACCCAACGGGAGTATGCAGAAATGCATTATCTTTATGGCTTTTGCGACCGCAATACTCCGCTGCCGCCAGGGAATATCGACAACGCTACCCTAACAGTGACCGATTTTTTTTTAGCATTTACATGTATCCATCAGGGTTTTAGTATGTATTAGACGGAATATATAATTTAATAGGATCTCATAGAACATACATACTAAAAAGCAAACAAATAAATAAATACATCCCAGAACAAAAACCGTGCAGCCACTTCTGCTTGACGGTAAAAATACCCTCTAAGTGAGACGAACTGCTAGGCAAAAAAAGGGTCCTACCATCTAGACTACGTACTTAAAGTTGCAAATTCATATTAACACCGGTTTTTTAAATTATTTTTGACAAAATTTTCATCACATAATACAATCGTTTGTTAATAGTCGTGTTAGCTCAGGGTCGTGTTAGTTATAATGGCGGCGTACAGAATCGACTACACCATGTCATCCCGTGAGTGTCATAAGAGACGATAGAGAAAAATTAAACAGGACATGAGCAGCAGAATCTTCCTTATAACAACTCAAAATAAATAAAGTGCGTTTGCCAATCTATCTACCAAGTTAGCAACTATGATGAAAATCGCTTGTATGAAGCAATCTGTACTAGAGGCCTATATTCACTAGTGGACCTACGATAGTGCATAGGTAGTTAGGTTAGTTAAAATTCTGTTGTTCTGTGTGTTACAGATACGATGGATAGATATGAGCCTGATGTAACAGAGCGATGGGTAGATGTGAGTCCAGTGTAACAGTGCGGTGGGTAGATGTGAGTCCGGTGTAACGGTGCGGTGAGTAGATGTGTTTGGTGTAACGGTGCGGTGTGTAAATGTGAGTCCGGTGTAACAATGCGGTGGGCAGTTGTGAGTTTGGTGTAACGGTGCGGTGTGTAGATGTGAGTCCGGTGTAACGATGCGATGGGTAGCTGTGAGTCCGGTGTGACGATGCGGTGGGTAGATGTGACCCCGTTTTACGATGCGGTGGCTACATGTAAGTCTGGTGTGTGGTGGATAGATATATGTCCAGTGATACGGTGTGATGGGTAGGTGTAAGTCTGGTGAAACGATGCGGTAGGTAGATGTAAGTATGGTGTAACAGTGCGGTGTGTAGATGTGAGTCTGGAGTAATAGTGCGTGGGTAGATGTGAGTCTGGAGTAACGATGGAGTATATAAATGAAAGTCTGGTGTAACGGTGTGGTGGGTGAATGTGAGCCTGGTGACTGGTGTGACGGTGTGGATACCAACATGTTGACGTAGCGGAAGATGCCGCGGATGTCGACCTCGCGCGAGACGGTGCCGGCTAGCGGCACGGTGAGCTCGGGGCTGCCCATGCCCACCAGCACCACCACGCCGCCGGACTTCGTCACCTTCACACAAAAAATATTTATACAATTATTTCTTACTAACTGTTCCCCGCGACTTAGTCCGCGTGGAATTTATGACAATTGGATTTCATATGTTTTAATTTTTCTGCGCGGATCCTTAATTATATTTCTTAAATAAAAGTAAAGTTACTTTTATATAATATCAGCTATCTGCCAGTGAAAGTCCCGTCGAGTTCGGTCCAGCCGTTTCGGAGATTAGCCAGATAGAACAACAAAGACGGATAAAAATTTTAAAAATATTTTTTTTGCTATAAGTACCGTATATACTTTTTTATGCATTTAGTAGAAAAGCTGTTATTTTGACATTACAAACAGACGCTTCAATAGAAACAGAAACAGAAACTTTTTTATTCAATATAGATTATAAATAATACTTATTGAAAGTCACACTTTTGTTTGATTACCACTGGTTCGGAAAAAAACCTTTGTCCTGCGAAGAACCAGCAAGAAACCCAGCGGGACTTTTTTTTTAAATAACAGCTTACAATCATGATGTTACACAAATTAACAACACAACAAATTAGAAATAGCTTGGTAGCGATTACCTCATTTCCAGGGGCTATTATCATCCATAAATTCCTTAATATTATAATAACCCTTTTTATACAAACTTAGTTTAATAAAGTTTTTGAACTTTGAGCAGGTCAAACTTTGTATATTTTCTGGAATTTTGTTGTAAAAGCGTATACATCGTCCCAAGAATGAATAACTGACTCGATGGAGTCGAGTAACTGGTACTACTAGCTTATGTCTGTTCCTAGTATTTACAGAATGAATATCACTTATTTTTGTAAAACTACTTTTATTTTTGTGTACGTACATTACATTTTCATAAATGTATAAGAGGCCAAAGTTAATATATTAATTTCCTTAAATTTTTGTCGCAGCAACTCTTTAGGCTTTAAATCATAAATTGCTCTTATGGCTCTCTTCTGTAAAACAAATATAATTTCAGTGTCAGCTGCGTGTCCCCATAGCAAAATACCATACGACATTATGTTATGGAAATAGCTAAAGTAAACTAGTCTACCTGTTTCAACACTGGTTAGACTTCTGATCTTTTTTACAGCATATGCTGCAGAACTAAGTCTGCTTGATAGTTTTGATATATTGGGGCTCCATTGAAGCTTCGCGTCTAGTGTGATTGACTTCAAGAAAAATGGTGGTATCTACACGACTCAGTTTCTCCCCATTTAAAATTACATTAGTATTTAATTGTTTGACATTTGGAGTCATGAATTTCATACATTTCATTTTAGTGCCATTTAGATGCAAATTATTAACATTGAACCAATTTACTAATTTAGATATAGCATTATTTACTTCGCCATATTTTAGTAATTGTCAACTTAATTTGAAAATTAAAGAAGTGTCATCTGCAAATAATACTATATCATGGTTATCCCCTACTATGTAAGGTAAGTCATTAATGTATACAAGAAACAGAAAGGGACCGAGAATTGTGCCTTGAGGCACGCCCATTTGTACCATCGATCCGGAAGAGCTCATATTGTTAATGACAACTTTTTGGGTTCTCTTACTTAAATGTGAAATAATTAATTTAAGAGCATCACTTCTTACACCGTAGTGTTGAAGTTTCCTGATTAATGTTTCATGGTGAACACAATCGAAGGCCTTGGCTAGGTCACAAAATATACCCAAAGCATCCTGTGAATTCTCCCATGCATTAAATATATATTTAATCAGCTCAACACCGGCATCAGTTGTCGAGCGACCCCTTGTGAAACCAAATTGATTTTTATGAAGTAAATTATATATATTAAAAAAAAAATTAACATTTGATCAAGAATAATTTTTGCAAAAATCTTGCTAAGTGTTGGTAGTACAGAAATAGGTCTAAAATTGGCGGGGTCTAATGTACTACCAGATTTAAATAAAGGTATTACTTTACTATGCTTCAAATCAGGAAACACACCAGATTCGATACTAGTATTAAAAGTAATAGCTAAATGAGGCGCGATTGTATCTATTATAGACGCAATAACTTTAACGGAAATCCCCCACAGATACGCAGTTTTCTTAACATCAATAGTTTTAAAATATTTTACAATATCTTGTAATGACACTTTATGATATGTAAAATTCTTTGTACACGCATTTAAATTTTGTTTAAGTAATGATTCGGCGACGGCAGGAGAAGAATTCAGTGACTTAGTGGTCAAGATCGGAATATCAGTAAAATATTTCTCAAAAACCATTGCTACGTCCTGATCTGATACAGTTAATTTGTTGTTAACACTTAACTGGTAATTTGAATTGCGAGAGTTGATCTTACCAGTGTCGCTATTAATTATACTCCATGTCATTTTAATTTTATTGGAAGCCGTCTTAATTTTGTTGCTCAAATGCAAAGACTTGGCTATCGAGCACACTCTTTTAAATATTTTTGAATATTTTTTTATGTATTCCCTAAATTCAACGGTATGATTATATTACCTTTCATGGTAAAGATCATATAACCTATGCCTGCTCTTATGGACTCCTACTGTCGCCCATTCATTGAATGACTTCCGACTGTTCAAGGAGAATGTTTTAGAAGTAAAAGTATTATTAAATTCATTGCAAATAAGCTTAAATAATGTTCCATACAAAAAATTAGGATCATTTTGGTATGAAAGTGATGGAAGTTTTTTCACTATGTTACTTCTAAATTTCTCCAAGCGACGTGCATTTACTGGAACAAACACAACTTTCTCATCTACTTGCTTTTTGTGAACATAAGGTAACGAAACTACCTGTCCACAGTGATCAGAACTTAATTTTGAATTATACATTTATGCAACGGCTTCACATTTGTAAAAAATGTTATCTATACATGTTGCACTAGATTGAGCAATACGCGTTGGCTCTAAAAATAAATTAAAAAGACCATATGATTTAAACAATGATCTAAATTTAATATTGATTGAGGAAGCTTCTAGGAGATTGATATTAAAGTCTATAAAGTATATGTGGATATTATAACAGTTTTATTCTGTTTATTAAGCTTAGCAAAAACTTCCTCCATAATGTTTTCAAAAGTATCATATGTACAACATGGGGGTCTGTAGACGCTCACAACAATGAGGTGCTCAAACTCAACACATGCCATTTCTACAGTTCGCTCAACAGGGAGGCTCATAATGTCTTTACGTTCTTTACATTATAAATTTACTAGCTAATATTAAGGAGCCACCTCTTAATTTTTTTCAGCCACCATTTAATTCTGTTTACTTATATAGGTATGTTATTATTTACTAGCGAACTGCCCCGGCTTTGCCTGGATAGGATCTATGTGGTTTTAGATAGATTTAATATAAGCAAAGACCATTTATTTTATACATTTTTATTATTTAAAAAAAAAAGAATTCCCTTTAAGTTTTTGATTAACATATAGCCTAGATCCCTCTTGGGATTGCTGTCTATCTGTTCGTAAGGTTTCACAACAATCTGATCGGGTATCCCGAAGATTAGCCCGAACAGACATAAAGACAGACAGACAAACAGACAATTTTTTTAAAAACGGTTATATAAGTCTTAATAGCATACAAATAACCACCCGAGCTTAATCTATTAAGTCTGTGATATTGAACCCGCGACTGCGTTCGCGTGGAATTTATTACGATTGGATTTCATGGATTTTTTAAGCCGTACATGATCAAGACAAAAGCAATTACAAATTGCAATTACAATTTATACATTTGTAATATCCGTGTCATTTTTTAATTTATTTTTCAAACAACTTCAAAAAAGGAGGAGGTTCTCAATTCATCGGGATCTTTTTTTTATGTATTTTCACTGATTATTCAAAGACGCCTGAACCTATTTATAAAATTCTTTTTTTGTTTTAAAGAGTATACTTCCCAGGTGGTCCCATTTTAATCGAAATCGGTCGAGGGGTTTTAAAAAAAATCAACCATAAATTATATTCATATTGAAGTTTTTTTAAAGACAAAATTTTAAATTTACCACATTTTTAACAAAATTATATGCTTAGAGTATAAAGCTTAAATGTAAGGCCTATTAAAGGTTTTTCAGTTAAGTACCTACCTATATAAACAAAATATATTATGGACTACTATAACTATTCTATGGATTTATTATAATAGGTAGGTATGTACTAATCTAATCTTTATATATAAAAATTACGTGTCACATTGTTTGTCCGCGATGGACTCCTAAACTACTAAACTTATTGCAATGAAATTTTGCACACTGTGTGCAGTTTGGTCCAACTTGAGAAATAGGATAGTTTTTATCCCTATAAGTGACCCTCAATATTTTTTATTACGAATTTAAGAATTTTTATAGGACACAGGGTCGTCGAAAAGAGCAGTACGACGTCTGCCTGGCCAGCTAGTTATATATATATATATATATATATATATATATATATATATATATATATATATATATATATATATTGTACGATATCTCGGGGCCCATAAGCGGGAAAACCGACGGACGACCAAGTGTGTGGCCGATGCCTTATTTTCAAATGACCTACACAATAGATAATCCTAAATAACGAATAGTACGTACCTGCTTCAGAGGCGGAGACTGGTCACCAGGATCTGTCAGGCTGAAGGTGTAGTGCATGTAAGTGGTGTTTGTGAGTATGTGTGTTTAGGTGGCCTGAACCAGATGGCACGATGCTGCCTCGGAGGTGGTATTCTCCTGCGACGTCCCCGGTGGCAATTTCTTTCTTCAAGGCACTAGATCAGTCTATCCACATTATTATACATTTAACTAACTTCAAAGAGAGAACTAAATTCCGTTAATCACAGTCAAAGACCCAACACGTGGCGCGACCGACGACAGTGGTTCAAAGTTCACCTTCGTTCGCTCCGCGGCAAATTACTTCGAACACCGGACGCGACCCCTTGAGGCACTTAACAAAACGGTGCAATTACATTAACTTCGCAACTATTAGTCAATCCGGCGTGTAATATCCTAGGTTAGACAGTTCTACTTATTACTAG